GTTAGCAATTTGATCTCTAGTTCCTCTGCCCCTTTGAAATCCAGCTTGGATTTCTGGGAGTTCTCGGTCCTTAAAATAGTGTTCAGCATAATTCTAATTTTTCAGCATCCACGAGAAGATTTGGAACTGATCCCCCATGAATATTACAAACTAATGAGTAGGAATGAAGAATGAAGTTACTTGAGTGGCATAGTGATTACCATTTTCTAATTAGCTTCAGAGGTTTTTAGAGGTATTTTGACAGGAATGTTTTCAAAAATTTTTTTGCCCTTTTCTCCTCAATCCCAGAGTCTCCCCCACCCAAAAAAAGTTAAAAGATTATTAACCACAAAAAACATTCTGCACCATTAAGCACACTGTCAAGGGCTAAGAGTTGCAGGGAAGCCCTATTCTATTTTCTCAGCCGGGGACTCTCTAGGTAAGTCTGACTCCAGTTCCCAGAATCCCCATGCACCACAACCAATGATGGGAACTGTAGTTCAGCACACCAGGAATAAAAAAGTTGACATACATCCTTATTTCCTTTTGTCAAGAAGGGACGTGGTGGTGCTGTGGGCTAAACCCCAGAAGCCTGTGCTGCAGGGTTAGAAGACCAGCAGTCGTAAGATCGAATCCACGCGACGGAGTGAGCGCCTGTTGCTTGTCCCGGCTCCTGCCAACCTAGCGGTTCGAAAGCATGCAAATGCAAGTAGATCAATAGGGACCACCTCTCGCTTCCAAATGCGACGCTATTGGCGTAGCTGCGCAACAGAATTTCAGCCAGTGACATTTTGCCCAAGGCAGTCAGTGAGCCAGCTTCCTGATCGCACACACTCTCCTTTTTTTCGGAGCTCCGTTTGTGGGGATGTACGAGCGCTGGCTTAGGGTTCTGGTTTCTGAGAGGTTTTTCTCCCTTCCAGTTACACAGGCAAGCGCCCTGTCTCCAACATGGTGATCATTGATGTCAAGATGCTCTCGGGATTCATCCCAGTGAAACCGTCCGTGAAAACGGTAAGCTCCCGACCTCTGCATCAGGACTCCATCCTGAAGGATCTTCCGTCTGTCTTCACCTCTTCTTAAGAAGCCAAGGAACATCTCACTGGCTCTTGCCTGTGACGTCCAGCTGATGAGTAGCTGCCTCTGTTGATCTCCAACACTCAGGATAGGCTTGGCAGAGTCATGGAGTCCTGGAGTTGGAAGGGGGCCTAGAAGGCCCATCGAGGCCAACCCCTTGCTCAAGGAAGGAATCCAAAGCAGATCTGAGAGGAATTGGCGGTCCAATTTCCTCTTGAAAACTGTCTCTAGCATTGGAACGCTCTCCACCTCCTGTGGTGATTGGTTCCAATGTCGTACTGCTCTAACGGTTAAGGCGTCTTTCCTGATACAGCTAAGGATAGCTCTGGAATTCTGTCCCTACGATTTGGCTCAGTGTTTTGACTCCGAACACAGCCAGACTTGGGAGTCTCCGTCAGGAATGGAAGGGTGGGGGCCTCCACCTATCACTTCTCCACAGTTTGGTGGTAGAGTGCCCTTGTACAGAGAGGTTCCATTTAGCAAATCAGCCAGTGAGACTGAGCAATCAGTTCCTTCCTTCACGGAAATGATGCTAATGGTGGCTATTGTGGTGGCAACCCCCGTCCTCAAGGCTCACACTGTTGTTAAGGGTGTGTTGCCCACCTGTTCTGCTCACAACCACAGAGAACAGGGTGGAAAACCAAAGGCCTCTGGGTTGAGTCCTGCCCAGTGGGGTTTCCAAGAGGGCCACCCCCACAACTCTTCTGCATGCCACCATCCGATTGTGGTTTTCCAGCCTTTGTGGGAGTTTTTCCCATTCTAAAAGGTTGAGCGGCCTCTCTTAAGGCTGACTCCCTGGAAGGAAAGCCTTTAAACTGCATCATATGCTGGTCGGTGGGGCCATGCCCTTTGGCCTCTGGCCTCACCGCTTTGCCAGGATGTGGCCCATGCAGAACTTAATCTTAAAACCGAACTCAGCCCTCAAGCTGACGGAGGTTCATTTCCCTTTGTAAAAAGGTTTTCCCCACCTTTCATTTCAAAGCATTTTTGCACCCAGGCCTTCAGAGAGCGGCTCCATAGCATGGCCCAGTGAGAATAACCTTTCCTTTTGGCCCCTTCCAGCTGGAGCGTGCAAATAAGGTGAAGAGGACCGAAGTGAGCACCAATCACGTCCTGCTGTATTTGGAAAAGGTGAGTGAAGAACGGGGACCTGAGGTGGAAGGGAGAGCCGCGGCTTCTGGGAGAGCCATCAGGCGCAGCCGAGGGGAGCCGAGTCCCCCCTTCTCTGTGCATTTCCCGAACCTTTGGAAATGCGGGGGCTTTGACCTGAACCCCAAGATCTCTCTCTGGAGGCCTTTGCTTGGAGGATCCTCTACCCAGCGAAGTGAGATTTGTGGATACCAAAAAGATGGCCTTCCTGGTGGTGGACGGTGGCCACAGATAAGTTCCTCCTGAGAGATTCATCTGGTCTTTATGCTTTTTTCAGCACTTGCCATTTTATTTATTTCTTTATTTGTTATTCAATTATTCATTATTTTATTTAATTTAAAAAACAATTCTGGGCAGTTTCCAGTGATAAAAACATGCCAATCAAATTAAAATAAAGCCACAGAGAATAGCAATAAACTCCAAGAGGTGTTCAGTTGCAACGCAAACGTCAGGGATATTAAGAAGCGTCAGGCAGGGTTTCAGTAAAAGGGCCCCCTCTGAGAAGCAGGGTTTTAAAAATGACCCGGGAGTGGGTTCCAGCCTGTCGGTCCCACTGCGAAGAAGGCCCCGCTTCTGGTTGGTGATTTCCTGGCTTCCCTCAGAGGGGACACTCGGAGGAGCAACGCCTGAGAAGACCTGGCAAGATTTTCCGTGACAGGTTTGCGGTTGTCTGTTGTCGAGTCAAATCCTTGACAAATGCAGACTCAAACCCACAAGAAGAGTCGTGGCCCCTTAAAAGCCGACTGATTTATTTCAATGTGTTTGTGGATCACCTTCCACTGTTAAAGTGGACTAGAATCTACAAAAGCCCATACAAAAATAGATCCAGCAGTCGTTAAGGGGCGACGACTCTTTGGCTTCTGTTTTTCCTCTATGGATTATTTGAGTATGTTTTCTAATCTGAGCTGCTGAAGGGTTATTATTTAAGAGGGAGAAAAGGGAGAGGGACCAAAGGGCTTTAATTAACCAGCAGGCGATTAATTGTTACGGCCAGTCTTCTGTTCCTTCTAACCACTGACATATTTATGTCTATATGTATTTATTTACCCCATTTTTATACGGTCCAATGACTGTGAAGCACTACTCTGGGTGGTTGGCAGCAAATAACTCTAATGCGATACTAAAACAATAATAAATAATAATGCAGAAACAGGGAGAGAACCATTAAAGCAAACATGCCAAGGGCCACAGGAAGAGCCAGGTGATTGGGCAACCTTGGCAAGTGCAGCTGAAGGGAAGCCACTGAAAGCTTCTTTAAAGAACCTCACATTCCGCGGCCTCTTCCAGGGAGGGAGGGCAGCAAATAACTCTAATGCGATACTAAAACAATAATAAATAATAATGCAGAAACAGGGAGAGAACCATTAAAGCAAACATGCCAAGGGCCACAGGAAGAGCCAGGTGATTGGGCAACCTTGGCAATTGCAGCTGAAGGGAAGCCACTGAAAGCTTCTTTAAAGAACCTCACATTCCGCGGCCTCTTCCAGGGAGGGAGGGCGGGCGGGAGGAGGGCAGGTGCAGCTCCACCGGGAGCCCATCCCCAAAGGGCTGGGGCCAACGGCGAGAAGGCACAATTTCCAGTGGACGTCTTTCTGGCCTCCTTCGTCATGGCAACCTGTAGGAGCATGGCCTGCAAGGATCGGGTGGCGTGGTTCCTGTGCGTGGTGGGCTTTTCTTCAGCGTCTGCCCAAGGGGGAATCCACAAACTTCTTGTGCACCCCCCGGGAGGGCTGGAGCTGGTCGGAGGATAAGAGGAATTGCAGTCCAAGAAAACCGCGTTTCCAGGTTTGGGGTCCGGTCTCTCCCTGTGGGTCTGGTTCCTTCAAGCCATGGAGCTCTGCTAGCCCCATGGCCTTCCTCTTACGTCTTGGTTAACTGCGGCAAGGGGGGCACCATTGACTGGATCAGACCTCAAGGAATCCTGACTGTTTTGTCCACAGGTGACCAATGCCACCCAGAGTTTCTCCTTCAGGGTGGAGAGAGACATCCCGGTCGAAGGCCTGAAGCCTGCCGTGGTGAAAGCGTACGATTACTATGAAACAGGTGAGAGAAGCGAAGGGGTGTCGCTCTAGCACTGCCGGCTGGCACAGCGTGACTCAGGCTCAGGGTGGCTGCGGCAAAAACAGCAGGCAAAGCGTTGTGGCCCCGAAGGAGCCGCCGCCGCCATTGAGTGAGTGATGCGGGGCCGTGCTGGCCGGGCAGGAAGGCAGGCGGGTAGGCAGGCAGTCGGTCCGGATGGAGGGAGGGAAGCAGAGCCGGCCATGCCTGAGCAGCCAGAGCCCACCGCTGGGCTGCCTGCCGCCCCACACCACTGAGCCAGCGGCACGCTCACTTGCCCGCCACCTGCCCACTTCCCCTCTTCCTCCTCCTCCTCCTCCTGCCACCGCCCACACAGCCTCTTCCCCTCTTCCTCGCTCTCCTCCCCACTGGCCATGAACTTCCAGGGTGGGCCCAGGCAGAGCCCCAGGCAGCCGGCGCTGGCGCCACAGCAGAGCCTTCCACTCTATGTTTTGAGTGGAAATGTTGGGGGGTCATCTTATACGGCCAGTCACCTTGTACGCCGGCAAATACGGTAGTCTGATTTGACTCTGAGTTAGATGCTCCAAGCTGCGTAGTTACCATGAACTGTTACTGCGTTGAAGGTATCACAGGCAGTATCTTTCTAGCCGCCCTGCCTGATTAGTGGCTGGGTTTTTTGTTTTTGTTTTTTTGCCTTTTATCCTTTTAAGTATCACATACTACCAAACTATGTGCATCGATCTGGTACTATAGCAGTAACATATTTGTAATTCCCTAAACCACATCAGTTAAAAAAAGATACAATAAGATATTATACACCACTTAGACTGTGCATCTGTGTGCCCCAGCCTCAGAAATTAAATATTGATACTTGCGAATCAAACATTCAGGAATGGCTCATCTGGGAAGGGTAGCTATATAAGAATGACACTCTTGGGTTCTGTGCTTGTTCTGTCTTGATTCCAGAACTAATTTGTGCCGCCTTCTCAGTGTAATTGCCCATGGAATGGGTCTTTCTCAGCTGTTGGATCACAAAGTAATTTGTTTTGGCACATG